CGGTCAGTGATTTACTCACTAGCTACTGCACCCTCCCCTCCCCCCCTCATACCTCATACCTTACGACACTGCCAGCCAACAAAGGTCTACTCATACACAAAATGTCTCACCTCAAGTAGTTGATATAAACTATCATATTGACCGTAAGTTGCAGCAAATATCAATTTCTCTTCATCTTTTCCGATCGTAGACCGACCTTCAATTATAAAATGATAGGACACGCATGACTGGGATTGAGTTTAAAAGATACGTTTAAAATGATGATATGGACTGGTTTGCTGATATTTTTACCAATCCAGCTGATTATAAGACTGGCATTTCTATTATGAAGCTGAATTCATATAAAAACAATTGGTAACATTTGATATCTTTCAACAAAAGTTCTGTATAAAATCAGTATAGGCTCATTATATATATTCAGTAAGAACTATTCCATTTTGTTCCCCTTTCATTTATATACCTTAGTTTATTTACTGTCTGACTATATTGAGCTCCGAATTGAATTTTTTCTCTAATTTCAGAAATATTAAAAATAAAATTTTCAACTTTATGCCATTTGTCTTAGAATGTCTTCAGGTCCATAGAAGTATAAAGTTCAGTGATTTTACATTTTAAATAGATACACTTTCCTCCCAGACAATTCACTTGAAAACGACCTACCTACTTTTCGGACTGAAAAATCCCCTCTGTAAAATCATGTTTAAATAAATAACTTTTCCTTTTTCAACCCAAAGACAATCTAAGAGAGTGAAATGTGCTTATTTCAAAGGTAAAATCGATAAAAGTAAATTGTTTGTGCTATACATTGTACCAAGACTAAAGTAGCTGTATACTTAGTCTTATTAAACAGATCAGTTCAAAGACTTCGATTGCATTTTCATTATATTTGATATCTGACTGCTGCCACCAATCGCCAAACATTAAATACAACATAATCTGACATACATATACATTCTAATCATATCGTAGGAATGCTTAAAAAAAAACATCTACAAAACTGTCATCACCAAAAGGGAAATAAATATATTCATTTTTGTCATTATTTACCATCAGATCTTCGTTGTGAATCGTTTTTCGTTTTTTCGTCGGCCATATTGTTTACATTTTGTCAAGGAAGACTTTTTGTTGGCATTTTACGACATTGATTTGGGACACCTTCGTTTTAATGAGTTTTCTTGATCAGCGTGAGACGTTTAGTGGTTATATTGTAATTAAGTTTGTTTTAGTTTGGATAAAGAAATCTACTTTTATTGTTGAAAACGTTATCTAGACGTTTAAAGTAAAAACCCTTGTAGGTAGAATAGTGGGACACCTTCGTTTTGCAAAATATAGGCATCAAGCCTACCCTGGTATAAACTTCATTGAAATCCAGACCCGTGGTTAATGTGTCTCAGAGGTCAAAATTTTTTAAAGGGGGGCTCAATTATAGCGACTCAACAAGTCATTCAACTTTTCTCAATTTTCTAAAGTGGGGGTGGGGTATCTGTTTACGGACGGACAGGGGTGCCGACAATATACGTCCACATAGAGAGATGTGGGCATATAAAAATGGATACAATATACGAAACTAGGCAACAAGTCTCAGGTGCTCTCTGTTTCCCGCCTTTTTTCATTGTGCATTCATGCAACCACTCGCTAGCCGCTATGTGGAACTATTTCGATCTTAAACTGGTGCAAAATCCTTTATTTTGACAAATTTGACCAACTGTTGAAGGAACCGATACTACTTACTACAACGACTATTACTAACAACTACATTGTCATTGATATCAGCCTACCAACATTTCAAGGTAACCTGCGATTGACGATTGTAGTCTACATGTCGTCTGTTTGGATATGAATAGTGTGCTTCTTACTACCAGCCATAGAAAATTGAAACTCAATTGTTGCTCTGTTCAGCAGTTCGTGACTTATTTCGGCAGTACAACTAGTAGGACACTTACTTGTGTAGTGTTTACCACCTCTATATAGCGTACTATCCAATTAAATCGCTTTATTTACAAATTTCTATGCATGATATACACGCAAGGTGGCTTATTTATTGAGTTCGTGTTAGCTTGACATTGTGAAGATGGATGTGACTAATATTTTGCTTTTGGCGA